ATTGTCATGAGCTTCACATTAGAAGAATGGCGCACATTGGGGAATTCCCTTGCGTCGGTCATGAGCAACCCTTTTTGGTGGTGGTTCTTCGTTGTTCTTGTCATTGCAGCTATCTTTGTCACTTGTAGTACTTGAACCAACATCATCAATCATAGTCACATGATCCTTACCATTGCAATGAGGGCTGTTTTCAACCATGGATGGCGTACTCATTTCCATTTTTAAGCCTCTAAGCTGTAAAAGGTAAGAATTTTATTAGATATATGCAATCCATTAATTATGGAATTATTTCTTATTTTTGTATTTTTGAGAAAATAACATCCTTAGATAGTTTCTAATAACTTACATTGCATCCAAGAGAGCAGAAGCAAAATGCATCAAGTAGAGCACGATTGCATGTCTCACAGCTATGTGTTGATGACGAAGGTGCCTTACAAATGGGGACACTAGAAGCACACAGTTGTGGGCACTCATTCAAGAATACGACCCTTGCACTATTGATTACATAAGTTTGCACATCGCTAATATCAAGGATGTCCTCAATCTCTGAAACCCTCACAACATCATGATAGGATGGTCACCTTATTTGAAACATTCAATTATTTGAAACCCTCACAACATCATGATAGGAATGGTCATACTTATAGGAAAAGAATAGTGAGAAGTACATGAGTTTTTGCTGTAAATTTGCGGGCAAAAATAGGCGTTTTGCATAATCTGTGGTGGTAAGAACTAAATGCAAGCTAGAAATTAAGATAAACAATACAATAATGAGAAGTACATGCACCTTTCCTACAAAACAGCGGGCGCAGTATGATGTTTTGCATAATCTGTGGTGGTAAGAATTGAAATGCTAGCTAGAAATTAAGAGAAACAATATAATAATAAGAAGTACATGCACTTTTACAAAATTGCGGGTGCAGTATGATGTTTTGCATAATATGTGGTGGTAAGAACTGAAATGCTAGCTAGAAATTAAGAGAAACAATATAATAATAAGAAGTACATGCACTTTTCCTACAAAACAGTGGGCGTAGTATGATGTTTCGCATAATCTATGGTTCTAAGAATTGAACAAATAGCTACAAGTGACACATAAACAATAATGAGATGTACAATCTCTTTTCCTATAAAACTGTTGTTGCAATGTGAAGTTTTTTGTAATTGCAGTAGTTCTTTGTCATAATATGCAGCACTAAGAATTAACTGCCAGCTAAAGTTATAGGAAAAAATAATGACAAGTACAATCACTTTTCCTGGAAAACTGCTGGCAAATAAGAAGTTTTACAAAATTGGTGGCACTAAGAACGGAAATGCGAGCTATAGATATAGGGATACAACAATAGAAGTGCATCCACTTTTTATTCAAAACTACTAGTGCAATAAGAATATTTGCATAATTTGCAACGGTATAAAACTGAATGCCAGCTACAAACATTGTGCCCACAATCATAGTACATATTATACAATATCTTGGTTCTCACATAATAGGCATTGTGCTGTGACGACCTAAAAGTCGTTACAAATAAAACTTTGTAAAACCACGTTCTAGACCCCAGATCCAACTGTCCCCCTCCAATCTTGAGCATTAAGTCTAGTTGCATTGATCCCAAAAGGGCCTCTCCTGGGATAGGTCACGACTTGTTTGCCCTCTAGTTCAACCTATGTGACCTTGTTGTCATCAGACCCATTCCTAACACCAGAAGGTTAACTAGTGCTATGCTCGATCATATGCCAACCACTCAGCTCCGACTATAGGAACCCTGTCTAATCTCAAACAATTCATCAACTCCCATTCCTAAGTCTCATGAAAAATATTCCCAAATGGTGGTCAAATCAAAGTGAAGCAAGACCAAACGGCATCTAATGCATGACTAAAACCGGGAAGGAAGTTGGGCTACAAAACTTCATCAAGGAATAAGTGACTCTCATGAATGGAGAAATGTCCCAGAGATCTCTCCTAAGTTTGGCAGCAACCTAGAACACGAATTGAATCCATGGATTGTCCAATGTTGCCTTGCGGATGTCTGATGTTGCCCGGTCGGTCCATCCGACATTAATTGATGGAAAGTCTGACATGACACTAGTGACTCTGCAAACATGCAAATGCCACTATGAAAAATCCCCCATAATGCAATGGCCTAAAATCATGGCAATAGGGCCTAAATCATGACAACATGTACTAGTTGCCATAGAGTCACTTTCGTTGGTAGGTGTTGCAGAAAACCGAGTGGCGAAAGGAGCTTGCAACGGATTTGCATTTTGTTGCAAGTAGAGTGCTAATTGCAACATGATTATACGTTGCGATTGGTAGGTGCTACAACAAACCATATTGTGGCAATAAGTTTTTTGCCACATTTGAATCAGTTGCAAAAGAATTTATTACCATGCTTATGTTTCATGGCAGTAGGAGTTTATGCCACGAAATCGTTTTGTGGCAGTAGGATATAATACCACACATTTTTTTTTCATTGCAAGTGGAGTTTATGCCACACAATTGTTTTGTGGCAGTAGGATATAATACCACACATTGTTTCATTGCAAATGGAGTTTATGCCACAAAATTGATTCATGGCATTAAGATATAATACCGCGCACATTGTTTTGTTGCAAGAGAATGTTGCAACGTAATTGCTTAGGTGGCTATAGATTATATTACCACTGAAATTAGTTTGTGGTAATAACATTTGTTGCAACGTAGAATAAGCAATGACAAGAAATGATGTCACAACGGGGTGAAACCATTGCACCCCTTGATTTCACAACCAAATAATTATGTGGCATTTAACTACTTGTAGGGTTTTAATTAGTACGTATGGAACCACTACTTGCTATGTTTTAGCCTCATTGCAATGGATGATTATATTAATAATTTGTGTGGAACCATTGGTAGGGTCTATGACGTATGTATCGAACCACTTGTGCCAAACAAATTTGTGGCCATATATTCCCTTTGATGCAACAACTCAGTGTCTCATTGCAATATAGGGAAACATTTTGCAACACAAGAAAATTTTTGCACCATGCATGAAATTCGTGGTGGTATAAACTTCTTTGAGGCAACGACCTTGTTTCTCGTTGCAACACAAAGCAACATTTTTGCAACACAAGAAAAAGTTTGCGCAACACAAGAAATTCGTAGCAAATTTTGCAAGCTAATTGCATTGATGTCCTATTTTGTGGCAAAACACTTACATGTAGCAACGAATCTGACTATTATCACAATAAGAAAAATTGTGGCAAAATTGTTAACTAATCACAACCATTACCAAAATTGTGGCAATAACGCCAACCTCTTTGAACCAAAATCAGAATTACCACAACACAATAAATTAGTGGCAACATAGTTCAAATAATGCAACAAGTTTTGCAAATAGTGGCAAAAACACCAACATATTACGCTGTTGCAATGCACACCGTGGCATTAGGGGGATTTTCCCGTAGTGTCAGTGCTCCGTGAAGTTAGTTGATAGGTATCCCAAGCTATCCAAAGGCGGTTGTGAGTGTGTGTTTGTATGAATGGTGGGCCCTTCAATCCATGTGTGAGATCATGACAACCATTTGATCAAACCGACTTTGCATCAACACCCAAGATTGCTCCATAGTGTGTTCTCTCTACATGTGTCAAAGTGGAGAGGCTAGATGGGCCTAGGCCGGGTCAGGCGACCACCTAGGCCGGTCTGTGGTGCCACCTTTTGGTCATGGGTTATGGCTGAGCAGTAGGTTGTGGGTTCGAATCCTCAAAGATGCTAAATTTTTATTTTCTTGGGTTTTGTGGAAACCATTTACAAAGGCGGGCATCTTAACTTGTCTACATGTATAAATGGCATTAACATAGGTAAGCATCTTAAGATGCCTACCTCGGTTAATAGTTTTATAGAGGTGGTCGTGCACCCGCCTTTGGAAATGGCCGATTAACGATGACCATTTGCTAGAGGCAAACGCACTGTCCTCCTTTGAAAATCGATTTTGACCGGCGCCAACAATCTTTTTGTGTAGTAGTGTTTATTTGATTTCCTACACTTAAAATAAGTTGTAAGTCTTACTCACCAATTGTCTTAACAACAAAGTACACATCATATGTTAGTGATTCAAAAGCAATGTGCATAATCTTAGGAGGAGCTAGATTTATAACTTGTGATGTTGGGACTAACCTTCTTTCAAGGCTTATCATGTGTAGTCCCGTCGAACATGGGAAGGATGGGTCAAATCGTCTCATGTTGTGCGTCTCTTGGGGAGTTTGGAGACTTAGCATGCTGTTGGGTGCACTCATGAGGTTACATATCACGACACATACCCAAAGTCCTCCACCTCATCCAAAGGTAGTGTATACCCTTCTCTTGCATCTTGTACACTTTACTTTAATATAGGGTTGCATTACATGCTCCTTTTTGTGTTCATACTCTTTTGTGCCTTAGTTGAACCCAAGGAATATCTAGATTATTGAAGAATTTGTGGAGATTCTTTAACATCAGAGCTTCATTGTGCTTTTCTAGTCCAATGAGTCCTAGACCTCCTTCCTCCTTTGACATGCAGACCATATCGCGGCAGCCTTTGGTGGATTCTTTGCACTGATATCTGACCCCTCTAAAGGCAGTGTTTTCTATATTTATCTATTTGCTTGATGATAGTTTTTGGAAGGGTTAAGGACTTAAGGTGCTCATGTAATAAAAGGTTGGCAAAGACGAAAAAAACTGCATTTGTGATCCCCATTCTCTCATCCTGAGATAGAAATGAGAAAACACACACCACCCTTATCTTTGTTTTACCAAGGGTAAAAAATTCAGAACTCTTGGCTTTGTGATTCCAATTCCAAGAGGCAAACCCAAATAGGTGAAGCCCTTTGAACACCCGAAAGTTCTTGCTAGGAGCTCTAATTTTTCTTCAGAGATATTGATGAGAACCATATACGTGGTTAAAAGCTATATATACAATATAAGTATACAACTAATAGTAGAAACTTTGTGTGCGTGAGCCGTGAGCTAGCTGCTGCCTAGCTACTAGGAGAGTGTGATGAAGTCGTGGAGTGATGCAACGAGGCTGGGCGGCCAGTGCTTGGTCTCCCGGACGTAGGCGAGGTCCGTGTAGTGCGGGTCCAGCAGCGTCGCGATGGCGAACTGGTTCTCCGCCAGCAGCGCCGCGTGCTTGTCCGCGTACAGCGCCGCCGCCAGGGCCGCGTGGATCTCTGCAAATAAACCTCACCATCATCATCAGTAATCCATCACTTCGACCTGATGACAAATAGACGACGACCAACCTGGGTATCCCTTTAGGGCGATGGAGACGTCCTCCATCTCGGCGATGGACTCGTCGCGGTCGCCGATCTCGTACAGCACCAGTGCCCGCCCCACCCGCGCATACTCCGACAGCGCCAGGTCCGCGTACTCCCGCACCACGCGCGTGAACGACGCCAGCGCCTCCGGGAACTCCCCGCGTGCCTGCAGCTCCCGCCCGAGCTCCAGCAGCCCCACGGCCTCCCCGACGCGCCGCGACACGGCCGCGCTGGCCGCGCGCTCCGCCTCCGTCACCACCGGCGGCGGCCCACTGTACCCTGCCAAACCTCCTTCCTCTCCTGCAGCCTGCGCGCCGGCGGCGGTACTGGCACTGCTGCTGGCCGCGAGGAGCAGTGCTGACGACACCAGCAGCTGCCGCCTGCCTGTCTTTGTCGATGCGATTGCTAATGGTGATGATGACGGCTGGGAGTAGATGGCTCGTGGCGGAGCCGGCGTGGCTGCTCCGGTGGCTACCGGCGGCGTGACGGGAGGCTGCATGGGTACGGCGGAGGCGTATACGTGGCGCTCACATGCCAACGTTTCGTCGTCGTGGCAGGCGAGGAAGAGAGAGATAAGGTTTGCGAGGCTGCTCAAAATGAGGACATGGATTGAAAAGAATTGAAACAGGTTCGTCTGCTCTTGTCGTCGGCTCGCGTTCGTCGAAACGAACGGTCAGAAATGATCGTGAAATGGACGGTTCACGGCAGAGCTTGCTGTTGCTCTGAGCATGACAGACAATTGCTCGTGGCACAAATTGAGCCAACAAAGCGGCACAAACTGATCTATTAGCTGAATTTCAGAAAAAAAATTCAAAATCCGAGGTCAACATCCCGTCAATGTTAGAGAACTTAAAATAAATATTTAGACATCTACACGATATCAAATAGAAAAGTTGTCAACTATAAAGTTATATATCTTACTGCGAATTACAACTTTGGTGTAAACTATGTCATCAACATATCGGGGGTCGTTTGGGAAAATAAATAAAAAAAGTAAATTATAAAATGTTGTAACTTAAATGAATATTTGAGCCTTTAAAATATATTATTTAAAAAAGTTATCCACTACTAAGTTGTAGACCATGTGAGCTCTACAACTTTAATATAAAGTTTGTATTCATATGACTTCATATGAAGAAGTTATTCCTTCTTATATAGGAGATAGAGAGACCAAATGACAGGTGGTCCCACTGTCACGTCAGCAAAACCATGAAAGAAATCACTTTGAAATAGTTAAGAGGAATATCTTGTCTAGTTTCAAAAGTTGAGGTGTGTGTGTCTGGTATTAAAGTTTGAGTTATTCTTTTTTAATTCAATGGCTGATTCAGGGGTGGTGAATGAGACCGTAGCTCAAATAGAGTCCATTATCTTCTCCTAAAATTAGGGAGTTCAGGACTGAAATAGAGCAAGGAGGGGATTGGGCATATTTATATCTGTTGCAAGCCTGCAAAAGGCGGCAGCAAGCTGCATGCTGATCTTTTGTTCTCTCCTCCGGCGATGGGCCATGGCCATGGCCAGCCACCGCCATCCACCACCCTTTGCTACTCCGCTGCTCGCCTGCTTCATTCTCTCTGGCACGCTGAAGTTTGTTGGGTTCCAAGAATAATGCATCTGGGCCACGCCTGGGGCAAGATAGAATTGGGCCAAAATTATTAGAGTGATATTTGGCTGAAAAAATAAGCCAAAACACTGTTCCGGCTGAATTGTTGTGAGAGGAAAACACTATTCCGGCTGAAAAAAGAAGCCGAACAAGCCGGATTTTAAGACAAGCGAATGGGGCCGTTTGGTTTAGGGGTCATGGCGCTAGACCCAAATCCGCCCCTGTTCCTGCTCGCTTCTTCACCATCTCTGTCCGGGTTTATTTAGTGTCGTAGCAATAGAGAAAACTTTAGTTTCGAACTTTATTATTTCCTATGTATGAGATACTTGAATTTCACAAGGAAGGTTTCCTTTTATTTACTAGATAGAAATACTGTCACCAGTTGCCAAATCATACACCTGTAGACAACGGTAAAATTTACTATAGTTAATAATGAATATTCTAGAAGCATAAATGAGATTCTCAAATTCTACATTACCAAAAAAACGATTCTAAAAGAAACAATTGAATAGACAACGATTAGACACCCAAAAGATAATGCCTCCGTTCCAAAAAAAAAAGATAAGATCTCCTAAAATCAATTAATAGAGATGGGCCTCTTAAGAGATCTACCTCTAAAAGTAATAGGAATTTCTGAGGTGGGCCTCATATGAAGCCCAAAAAACATGGCGAGCCAAGCCCTGCCCATAATCATTCCTCATATATATTGACAACACTTAGGGTTCCTCATCCCTCACTTCTCTCTTTCTCTCACAAAAACACTTCTCCCTAGTGGCACACTTCTCCTAGCAGTGCTCACATGGGGGCCCACCCCCACTTCGGTAGCCGCATCGGCACTTGTGTGGGGCCTGCTTATATGGCGTGCGAACCATGAGAAACCCATCATGAGTCCGACTTCAATCACATCTAAGAAAGCAAGCATTGAACACATACTAGGAAGGCAAACGATCAATCTTGCAAGGTATAGGAAGTTAATCATCAAGGTAAAAGCTCAACTATGTTCTCATTTGATTCTAGTGATAGTATATACATAGGATACAACAGCTAGCACATATCAAGTTATGCCATTATAAAAGAGAAATATATGCTTAGGGGCTTGTCTTGATACTCACTGGGGTTGGACAATGGGCTTGGTCATTGGGAACAAAGTCAAAGTTGGTCTTGAGAGTCACCTCCTTGGGTGCGTCAACTCCTATATGAGTACAAGGTACATATACGAAAACATGATGCTCATGATTGTTATGACAAGGTTAAGAGTGGTAGAGCGAGGGTGAGTGGATGTAGGCATCTCAGGTTCCAAGTCACATAGAATGTGCTACATTTGCTTGCCACATGGGGCCGTTAAGAAGGGTTGACGCCTAGCTCAAAATCCTGCATTTTCACGTTCTGATAGACAACCTGACGTGATAGGATGGACTTTCCATTCGTGTGAACTTGAACTGACCTAGCTCACCAAGAATGGATTGCCTTGTAGGTCCGTATGTATTGTCCACATATGCACATTAGAACCAGAATCTACATCTATAACTCGAATAGTTTTGCAAATATGGATTTTGGATTATGATTATGCACATGATGCTAATGATCAACCAAGTGCAATGACGGGTCATGACACTACATAATCTTGTCACTTGTTCTTCGTGATTTGAAGTAAACCTCGGGGTAGAACTACTTAAGAGAGATAAAGGCTATGATTACACTATGTGCTTCCAGTATAACAATTACGTGCTTTGAGAGAAACACCCATTAGATGGTCTAGTAAAATGTTTTGAAAGGCTCGCAATTTGAAGAAACCAACCTACATAGCATTGGGGTCATTCATTCATTCATTTATTCTACCCATGGAAAACATTCTCTCATCTTATTTGCCCCAACATTTAATGGATATTGTCATGAGCTTCACATTAGAAGAATGGCGCACGTTGGGGAATTCCCTTGCGTCGGTGGCGAGCAACCCTTTTTGGTGGTGGTTCTTCGTTATTCTTGTCATTGCAGCTGTCTTTGTCACTTGTAGTACTTGAACCAACATCATCGATCCTAGTCACATGATCCTTACCATTGGATTGAGGGCTGTTTTCAACCATGGATGGCATACTCATTTCCATATTTAAGCCTCTAAGCTGTAAAAGGTAAGGATTTTATTAGATATATGCAATCCATTAATTATGGAACTTATTTCTTATTTTTGTACTTTTGAGAAAATAACATCCTTAGATAGTTTGTGATAACTTACATTGCATCCAAGAGAGCAGAAGCAAAATACATCAAGTAGAGCACGATTGCATGTCTCACAGCTATGTGTTGATGTGAAGGTGCCTTACAAATGGGGACACCAGAAGCATGCAGTTGTGGGCGCTCATTCAAGAATACGACCCTTGCACTATTGATTACATAAGTTTGCACATCGCTAATATCAAGGATGTCCTCAATCTCTGAAACCCTCACAACATCATGATAGGATGATCGCCTTATCTAAAACATCGAATTATTTGAAACTTAAATACTTCCATCTTTTCATAGATCATACGTGTGCTTGGTCAAAGGATCCGTGGCCTATGAATGAAATCTATTTTTATACACCCGAATTCAGAACACATTTTATGTAAAGTTTTATAACATTTCTTAATTATGAGGTGGCATAAGAAGCAACAAGAGAAAAAACATCTAAATCATAAAGTTTTGAGTTGTATGACATGTATGATATGAAATGTTTTACCTTTCCATTGACTACACGACTACACATTTCTTACCTGGATTACACAATGAGTGGAATGATCGCTTGAACGGCAATAGTTGCAGAAAGCAACTAGTGTAGCCTCACACTAGGTGCAAAATAGGGTACACTCGTTGCGACTAGCAAGAAGATGGTTTGCACAAGTTGTAAAGAACTGTGTTGCAAGCAATATCTATAGCCATGAAGGGACTGTCTCCCTTTTCATTGTAAAATCAGTAGTCTATTATGTTCTTTGTGGTAATGTTGGGGCATGTAAGTGAATGGAATGGTTGTATTTATAGGAAAAGAATAGTGAGACGTACATGAGTTGTTGCTGTAAAATTGTTGGCACAAATAGGCGTTTTGCATAATTTGTGGTGGTAAGAACTGAAATGCCAGCTAGAAAATAAGAGAAACAATATAATAATAAAAAGTACATGCATTTTTCCTACAAAATAGTGGCGTAGTATGATGTTTTGCATAATTTGTGGTGGTAAGAACTGAAATGCTAGCTAGAAATTAAGAGAAACAATATAATAATAAGAAATACATTTACTTTTCCTATAAAATAGTGGGCGCAATATGATGTTTTGCATAATATGTGGTGGTAAGAATTGAAATGCCAGCTAGAAATTAAGAGAAACAATATAATAATAAGAAGTACATTTACTTTTCCTACAAAATAGCGGCCGCAGTATGATGTTTTGCATAATCTGTGGTGGTAAGAACCGAAATGCCAGCTAGAAATTAAGAGAAACAATATAATAATAAGAAGTACATTTACTTTTCCTTCAAAACAACAGGCACAGTATGATGTTTTGCATAATCTTTGGTGGTAAGAACTAAAATTCCAGCTAGAAATTAAGAGAAACAATATAATAATAAGAATACATTTACTTTTCCTATAAAATAGTGGGCACAGTATGATGTTCGGCATAATCTGTGGTGGTAAGAACTGAAATGCCAGCTAGAAATTAAGAGAAACAATATAATAATAAGAAGTACATTTACTTTTCTTACAAAATAGCGGGCCGAATATGATGTTTTGCATAATCTATGGTGGTAAGAACTGAAATGCCAACAAGAAATTAAGAGAAACAATATAATAATAAGAAGTACATTTACTTTTCCTACAAAACAACGGGTGCAGTTTGATGTTTTGCATAATCTATGGTTCCAAGAACTGAACTAATAGCTATCAGTGACGTAGAAAGAATAATGAGATGTACAATCTCTTTTCCTATAAAACCGTTGGTGCAATGTGAAATTTTTCATAATTGCAGTAGTTCTTTGTCATAATATGCAACACTAAGAATTGACTGCCAGTTAAAGTTATAGGAAAAAATAATGACAAGTACAATCACTTTTCCTAGAAACCCGCTGGCAAATAAGAAGTTTTAAAAAATTTGTGGCACTAAGAACTGAAATGCCAGCTATAGATATAGGGATAAAACAATAGAAGTGCATCCACTTTTTATTCCAACCCACTAGCGCAATAAGAGTATTTGCATAATCTACAATGGCATGAAACTGAATGCCAGCTACAAACATTGTGCCCACAATCATAGTTCTTATTATATAATATCTTGGTGCTCACATAATAGGCATTGTGTTGTGACGACCAAAAGTCGCTACAAATAAAACTTTGCAAAACCACGTTCTGAATCCTAGATCCAACTGTCCCCCTCCAATCTTGAGCATTAAGTCTGGTTTCATTGAGCCCAGAAGGACCTCTCCTAGGATAGGTCATGGCTCATTTGCCCTCTAGTTCAACCTATGTGACCTTGTCATCATCAGACCCATTCCTAATGCCAGAAGATTAACATAGTGCTACGCTCGATCATATGCCAACCACTCAGCTCTCATGTTGTGTTGTCCACTTCTCATCCCTCTTGGCCCTACCCCTCAGCTTATAACTCACCCCAAATCACCAACATCATCTCTCCCCCATTCATCTCACCACTCTCATCACTCTATCTTTAAGCAACAACAAGAGTGAAGATGAAAAATGGATAAAATATTGAAGGAAGCCCATTCTTGAATCGAGAAGAAGATGAAGGTCAATACCTTTATCCCTAGAGAAATTCCAAGCATAAGATTGTAATCTCCCCCCTATCAATTCCTTGATCCCATCTTAGTCCCTAATTCACATGTTCAAGCATGAAGGAGATGCTCCTCCCAAGTTCCTTCCAATCTTGAAGAAGACATCCTCCTCATGGGTGACATAGAAGTTTAAGAAGATGAGCATGAGCTTGGTGGCCTCAAATTTCCATACCTCAAGAGATGATTTCCTTGCCACTTCTCTCTTAATCTTGGTCTAGAAATCCACACCAAGGATAGAGCACCTTCAATGAAAGACTATCTGTTAAGTCAAACTAGAGCCACACTTAGTTATCTTTTGCTCTAGAAGCCTAATCAACTTGACCTCGGCCCATCCTAACCTATAGCAACCTAGGCCGCGGTCGCATGTGCATCGAGGAGCACGGTGCTAGGCTGGGCTGACTGCAGCTGTGGGCTTCTTCTCCCCTTCTATCTCTTTTCCGTTTTCTAATTACTTTCCTATTATTATTTCTTTCTCCCCAAGTCTATACTTGTATACAAGTAAACCTATACATGTGTACACTCCTAGGGTGGGTCCACTAGGCTAACCTTATGAGGTTTGCCACTCTAGGGTCTCAAGAACACACACAAGTTACTTCAATTTATAATGTTGATTAATTAGTTATTAACCAAACACAAGAACCAAGAAGTGGCAAATCATAATTTGGTAATGAATGCACATGCTCAATCATGCCAATTAAGGTTTACCTAGTGCATCTAGGGTTGGCTTCCTAGTATGTCAACTCACCTTGCAAGGTTTTGGGAAGAAGTTTTAAAAAGTTGGGATTTTTGGCTCTGGGATTTTAGGGTTGTTACATCTGTGGTCTCCAACAACCTTGAAAACACTAGTTAGGGGGGTATAATTAGCACCAAGCAAGCTCACTTGTCATTACTCAAACAGTCAAATTTTTCTTAGAACACCAAATGATCCGCTGACCTATGAATAGTTGCACGTATTCTTAATGTGGTAGGCATCTTAAGATGCTAGGAACCCATTCTAAGCATTCGTCTCTAAAAAATGATTTTCAAGTGGTGTCGGGGTCATAACCCCGCGGTGTCTCAAGGTACCGATTGGTTAGCAGGCCGCGCGACCTGCAATACGGTAGCTGGCGAAGGCCCGAATGGCTGAGACCTAGCTGAGCCGAGCAAACCAGGCCGGACGGTAAGGCTAGGGTCGGCCACGACCTCTTCCTCCTGCCTTAGCCGCATGGCGCTCGAAAGGCGCACGACCTCACCCCATTATGACCCCTGGAAGGGATGGGCAGAGGTTGAGCCCCGCCAAGTATGCCTATTTTGACAAGGGCATGCACGCCTCACTGACCCCACAAGGACCAAGGGGACAGTAGTCACCTCAGTCTGGTCCGATGCTAGCCCTGCGCCACGAAGATCGGATAAGACAACACCACCCCAGGGTGGTGACGACAGGCTCAATAACCACCGGCCAAATACAGCCCGACAAGATGCATGTACGATCTCACCCACTATGGGATGGAATTCACTATGGGGGCCTTGACTTAAAGGCCACTTGGACCAACGAGAGCCACGACCCCAATGATCAAGATCATGGCCTTCAGCTCCTCAAGATGACTAGGCGATCAATGACCTAGGGGCGGCTACCAACTCTTGTACCATGCCCTAGGAAACCAAGAGACGATGACGAAGACCACGGCAGAGATCATGCCACACAGGACGACTGGTGAACCACCACCGTGCCTATAGTGCTGCCACAGTTGGAACAGTAAGCACCATGCCACACCATGCCGCGACGTGTCCATAAGACCATGATGATAGACACGCCTGGATGTACCCTACAAGATAGCGTAGCTTGCAAGCCAAGTTAGCTAGGGCCCCCCTCAGGCTCACGACCCTTCGGTTGGGAGAACCTCCTCCTTTGTATGCGCCCTGGACCCGAACTCTTTAGAAGGGCAGCTAGGGCTCCAATCTTAGGACGGATACACATTCTGAGTCCCCTACTCATTCACTCATTCTCCATCATAGTAGGGCTCTTAAAGCTTCCTTTGGGCAGCCCATCACCTAGCTTAGGTTCTTCTACCTTTTCCACCATTCTTGCACCCCCATTGTAAAAACTTTAGAGCATTCAAGCGAGGAACACGCACTCGATCATCTCTAAGACTGGATGTTGGGCTCCGGCCTAAACCAGTATAAATTCTCATGTCTTTTGGATGCTACCATCGTCTTCCTAGAGCAGTGCGGCAATCATATAAGTTTACTAGTCCGGTTTACTAAACATTGACAGTTGGCACGCCAAGTAGGGGACAGTCGCACACTCTCATTGTTGAGCAGGAAGCGATGGCTCCTCGCACCGTTGGAGGACTCACTTGTGGAATGGCACACGGTGGCCACATCTATCGTAAAAACTACGAGTTCACCGGTGTATTAGGGCCAGCACCCGCATTCACCTTTAGCCGCATCCCTAGACCTCCGCTCCGGGGATCTGGATCCCACGGCCCATGGCGGGCACACTCTTGGAACTCCCCTTGGGGGCTGCATCCCAGTGTTCACCTATCTAGAGGGGCTAGTACCATCACTCATTGCTAGTTGTGGCTAGGTCTCCCATCCAGGAAACCAAAGGTCCATGGCTCATAACAAACTCACTCGGGGAATGGCCATAACCAGGCACATCCTTTTGGGAAATCATGCGGTTAACCACACCAAAGGGCCACCCCATGTCCGCCTTCAGTTGCGACCCGGACCTCCGCTCTAGAGGTCTAGGTCCCATGATCCATGATGGACACACTCCCGAAACTACTCTCGGGGGCTGAATCCCACAATTCTCCTACGTAGGAGGCCTAATACCCTTGCCCATTGCTGGCAAAGGCCGAGGCTTCCACCTAGGAAGCTAGAGGCCTATGGCTCATAGCGAGCTCACCCAGGAATGGCTTGCGGTGGCCACATCCTTATGATGAACC